CACTGGGGCTGGTACCGGCACCCGCTCGGCGCTTGGTGCTGGTGCTGACGCTGGTGCTGACGCTGGTGCTGATGCTAGTGCTGATCATGCCGGCTTTGCTAGCGCTGCTGCCCGACTGGCCGGGGCCGAGCAGTAGCGCACCCGGGGTGTCAGTGGCCGTGTCGACGGGCTGGCCCCCCCTGTGAAAGGGCGGCTCGGGCTGGGCAAAGGTCGGCACCATCTCGTCGCTGGCCGGTGCCGCATCCACGTCGACGCTCGCGGGCCGGGGCGGGGAAGCGGAAGCGGGCGACGGCGGCAGAGCGTTTGGCTTGGCCCTCGACCTTTCAGGTTTTTCAGGCTTGGGCCTGCCCGACCCCCGACGACCAGGGCTCGGAATGGCCAGCCGCCGTGGTGATTGGACAGCTTGGCGAGCATCACCTGCGGTGGCTGTGTGCATCCACGTGACGTTGCTGAGTTCGTCCAGTTGCAGCGGGGGATGCAGGGCGGCGAATGCGTCCCCGCCGGCGCCGTGGGCGAGATCGAGAGCGAGATCGATGGCATCGAGACCATCGAAGCCATCGAGGGCGCAATTTGGCGTCGTGGTCCCCAGATCAAAAAGATCCGGCTCTGGTGATAGGGCCGATACCCCTGAGCTAGGCGGCGACAGGAGACCAAAGTTGGCCGCCGAGAGATCTACTGCAAGGGCAGCCCAGGGTGCAGCGTGGGATGTCGGACCGATCTGTGGAACTTGAACGGGATGGATGGTGCCATCGAGGCCGAAGCTATCGCCAAAGTCCCAGCCGACGAGATCCCCTTCATAGAGCACATGCGCCATCGTTCTGTGCCGATAATGAGCTTCATCATCCAGATAACACGGTGCCAGGCACGGAGAGGTTGCCTTATCGGGACTGAGCTCTGGGCCGCACAGGGCGCCGTCATAGAGCACCGAATCCATTGCTCCCCACGAAAACATGGTTGCGACAAAGGAGGCAGAAATATATCTCGAAGCCGTGGGATGAGACGACCCCCAACCTCGGGCCGTTTTGGTCGACCCCGTCGTCCTTTATACCGGCCACCGGCTGGGCCAGCTCGCGCGGTAACGCCATGCAGACACACTGCTGATGCGATAGCTGTCTGGCCAGATGAATGGGAATGGCTTCGCGCCATCCCCTCGGGATTACTCGCCGTGCTTCTTGATTGTGCCATCTCGAGCAAGCCAACCACCAATCGAACATGTTATCAGAACAGGGTCCCTATCAGCGCGTCCCGTGCCGGCAGGTCGATGCCGTCCGATCGCCGTAGGGAAGCTCGATCCCCCGTGTCCATGCAGCCCGAGAAACTTCTGCAGTTCTGCAAGCGGTGCAGAGTTTGCAGGCCGGGAGGCGCTGGTGTTTTGGGGCCTCGGCTGCCTGCCAATGCCGTCATGACGTTGGTGACGTCTTCCCCTCCTTCCTCGACTCGCCAAGCGTCGGATGATTGACTCCGTGCCACTGAGGGTCCCCCGGGGGGGGGGGGGGGGGGGCCACTGAGGATACGTGGGCGCGAGTTGCAGGACGCACCCTGCGCGGTTCTGTGCTGTGTTGTGCTGCGGTGCTGCGTCGGGGAGGACCCACCGCGCAGAGATCGCCCCTCGGGGCCTGTGGCTGCCAGTCGTCGAATGCCTACAGAGCGTCAACGTGCCTCTGGTCTCTCGCGCGCGAGCGCGGATCCGTAGCTCGCGAGCAAAAGCCATTGCCATTGCTGGGCGACGCAAACAGCAGTTAGGTCCAGCAGTATCCACAGAGAGAGAGTGCAGAGGCTGCAGACAGTGGCTTGGACCCCTTTTCCCTAAAACGGCAGCACGTCGCGGCTTTGGCTTGCAGAGCCGCGAATACCCTGCGGGCCGGGAAGGGGGTCACTGGGGGTCAATGGATATGTAACCTCTGCTCAAAATTCCCATGCTGACCTCCCCAGCCATTGTGAGACACGCCGTTTCTAGAAAGGTCCAAGACAGACCAAGACAACGCATTCGCGTGATAAGGTAGCCCCGTCCCACTTTCCTTTTTTTTTTTTTGTTTTTTTTTTTTTTGCAGCAATGGCTCGCCAGCAGAGCAGACGTGTGGACGGAAGGTGACGCCCAACTGCAATGATAAGGTTCGCCGGGATCTAAGAAAGGGAAGGAGCCCACCAAGACGAACGGGTACTTACTTGCTCCCCTCGCAAATCCCGCAGGAAAAAAAAACGCGGGAAAATGTTTCTCGGATGGTAGTTGGTGGCCTGGCTGGCGAATCATGGCTGCTTTCTTCCCTACGAAGAAAACAATAAGAATACACGGAACTCAAGCTGGAACGAAAACTCGGCCAAAGGCAAAAGATAAAATCCGAATCGCTTTTCCGGTACCGGGAATCGAACCCGGGGCTTCTCGGTGAAAGCGAGATATGTTAACCCCTACACTATACCGGATTGGTTATTGAGAGGATATTGGCAGCTATAGCTTAAGTAAGCTCCCCCCTCCGGTGGCCGGCGCCGGGTCGGGTTAGCGTAGGTATGAGAGTTAGGTGTTAGGTCCAGTGTTGGTGGAGCCAGGTCCTGATCTTGGGCTGGCATGCTCGAGTCATACCCTGCTTCAAATCGACATTCGCTTGGTCAATCTGTAACGGAAAAGCGGAAGAGTTCGTTTTTCCTCCAATATTGCCGGCGGGTTGATACTGGGCAGGCCGCATCGTGTGCTGGCAACATTGAAGGTCGCCGAGGAAGGAGCTCTCAACGACAGCATCGGTGATCGGACGGACTCGGGCTGCAATTCCCCCTCCATCTTATGTTTTCTGCTGCTGGGGTGTTTCAAATCATGCAACTTCCTCCGGAATGTCACCACAAGTCGAGAGCAATTGCCGAACAAAAGACCAACCAAACGCCGCACTGTTGGTGTAACACGGTAGGTACCAAGGTAACAGGTATCGCGCATTCCTTGTGAGCACGTTCTTGACAAAAGCTAAATATTTACGTTTGAACAAACCGCCCGCTCTTTTGGCCGCTCTTTTGGCCGCTCTTTTGGCTCTCTAGCAGCTCACGCATGTACCAGCGATCCTTCGTTTCCTCAACCGAGAGGTCGCTTATTTCCCCAGCGACTGCTTCACATAGTCCAGCAGCAGCGGCCCAACCCTCGACGCAATGATCTTGTCGCCCGAGAGGTTGGGGTGCACGCCGTCGCGGAGGTCCGACGTCTTGAAGCCCGTGCTGCAGTCGGCAATGACGATGGGGGAGTCGGTTGAGTTGAGCCCCTTGGCCCAGGCCGGGATGGCCGCGTTGATGGAGTTGATGGCCGAGCTGGATCCAATCGACAGCGGGATGACGAGGTCGACCTGTTCACGGCGCCTGTCAGCACAACATCTTCACATTTTCCAGCAGCAATTCCCTCTTACAATGATCTTGGTCTTGGGGTTCGCCGCCCGGATGATGTTGACCATCTTGGTGTAGGCGCCGATGATGTCGTTGGTGCTCTTGCCGCGCACGACGTCGTTGGTGCCCAGCATGAACATGACGATATCGGCCGGCGTCTTCTGCAGCCAGCCCGTCAGGTAGTTGTTGGCAATGTCGACGGCCAGCCAGCCCGAGTGGCCCTCGTGGTGCTGGTCCCAGTTCGCCGTCGCCGGCTTGCAGTTCTGCGGGTTGCTGTTCTGCGACCCAACGTACTGCACCTGGCTGGCGAGCCCGGCGTCGGCCAGCTGGTCCCACACAAGGGCGCGCCAGCAGGTGATCTCCGTGATGCTGTCGCCGAGGGGCACTGGGAGCGCGTGTTAGCAGTGGGACTGGGACGAAGGTGCAGCGGCATGTTCTTGACGTACTGATCCTCAGCTTCGCGGCTTGGCGCTCGGCCACCTCAACAGGCGAGGCTACGGCCAGCCCGGCCAGGGCAAAGGCCGACAAGAGAATGTTCGAGGCGTGCATGTTGGCGGATCGATGGATCGATAATCTCGTCGGGACCCTGGGTGCTGGGAAGCTGATGTCTGGGAACTGGTGTGCGAGGATCCAGGGGCTGACAAGGCGGACCAGCCGTCTCTTATCATCGATTGGGCCATCGCCAATGCTAAAGTAGAAATATTCCGATGTTGGCACGGGACTCCCCCCGTCTCTCTGTTGTCCATACCGGGAGCACTGATGAATTGTCCCACCTTAGTGGTGGTGCTATTACCCAGCCGGTATGGAGACCACGTTGGCATTAGGATTCCTCCAATACCGCGGATAGCGCCCCAAGTGGAGGCTGAATGCTGTGGCCGATTAGATGGGGTGATATAGCGCTGCTGAACCAATGCCCCCCGTCTCGGATCGGAGGATATGTAAATAGAGTGTGCAAATAGGGCGTTTGCTGCTTGCGATGGCGCCAGCAACTGTGCTAACGCCAGCGACTTTTTACACTTCTTCGGTGGTGCAAAATATCCGTGGCTGATTGGGAAATGTCTTGTATATCCGGCGAGGGGATAAGTGCCAGGAGGCAACCTCAATGTCGACTTAATTTACCCCCGGCATCGGGTTCGGCTGGCGGAAACATATCCAGCGGTGCCGCAAGAACCAAGGCAGCCAATGCGGGGGCCAAGCTGCGACGACAAAAAGCGCAAAGTGACAGAAGAAACCGCAGAACAGTGCCGTCGGTTCCCACACCCTGTACAAGACGAAACAATGCAGCGGTGCCAGCGAACTCGTAAAGTGATCGCGCTTATTGTCTCGAGCCGGATGGCACTAAACAAACTCACTTCCCGGACTTGAGCACATCACAAATGACGATGCAATATGGCGATCTAGCACCGCGTCTTGTCAGCTTCCGTTGTTGGTGTTGACCCAGTTGTTGGTAAGGTGAATAATGCTCATGGTGGAGTTGGCCTCGGCGATGCAATTAACATCGCAAAACAAACAAGCTGCATGGCTGCACGCAATCGCGGAGAATTGTTGCGGGACTAGTCCGTCACATGGACGACAGTGGGGAACGTGGAATGCAATGCGGTCGCAAAACAAGTGATGCAGCATGAGGAAGCAAAAATGAACTCTGACAACTGTGAGATTCGAACTCACGCCCCTTTCGAGAATGCAAATCTACCCTATTTGAGGGCAAGGAGAAGGTACCCTTGAGTGCATCGCCTTAACCGCTCGGCCAAGTTGCCTAATCGATGGAAGATTGCGCAGGAAACAAGCTCCAACAAGCAACGCCGCTGACTGGTGTGCCCACTGGTAGGTTGGTGTGGATGAAGCGGACAAGTGCCACTGTTGCTGACTCGGGTAGCCCATTCTTCTTGAACTTTCGAGCGGAGTTAGATAGAGGGTTAGGGGTATCTGTGCAACACCATCGGTTCGGTGCTCACAATGAAAAGTCAAAGCAATGCGAAAAACGAGGATCTTCAGCGGTATCTTGGATGAATTCAGGGGCTAGGGGATGACGACGAACAATTTGATTACATGCATCCTCTGTGCAATGAATGCAACGAAACGTGATGCGCAATAGAGCTGGGAAAGGGCCATGAAATAATAGCCGGGGGTTCCAGGGGTGTGCATCAGACGATTTCGCAGTCCACCTTTTCGCCGCCGTCGTCCCCATCAAACCAGCGGTCTCGATTCACAAACCCGAGCGCTATTCGACTGAACGAAGGAGACCCCGGGCTACGAGGCACGAGAACCAAGCAGGTGAAAACATCGGGAAGCTCGTTTAGAACATTTCCGTCTCGTAGAGGCAGGCAGAAGACCTCCATTTCCCTCGGGATTTCCCTCCTCCCATCACCAGCGAACGGCAGCGCATGCGAGTCCAGGGCAGCTTCCCCCACAATCCTCGAGGTATCGTTTGCATCGCACAACACTGCAGGGAACCGTGGGTTCGCGGCCTGGCGCGCAGTGTTCTCCACTGCAAAGGTGGCCCCGTAGTTCTCGGGGTGACGGATCCGGCCGCCGTATGTCATGACGTTGATGCGCCAGTCGGTGTATTTGGGATCCTGTCGCAGAAGAAACTTCTTCAGGTTGCCGAAGAGCCTCAGCGTCCATGCCTGTCCTTTTGAGGTTCTGGAGCCGTGGATTGAGTCCTCCGAGGTACAAATTGCATCCTTGACAACTACCGGGTCAACGGCCCGGCTCGATTTGTCTTCCCATCTGAGTGGAGAGCGGGTGAAATGGACGTTGACCTTACCCACGGATGCCCAAGACCAAGTCGGGGCCGCAAGACGCATTCCGGGAGTGGTGGGATCACGTCTGTCGTTGGTCTCCACAAACCATGACAACTCTGGCACCAAATTCTCTTTCCATAGGCCGGCAAGGTATGTGTCTCCGTGAACTTCAGCGAACATGTTGCTGAGGGCAGAGACGGCATGTAGCGTGTCCTTTGTATCGGTAAGCTGTCTTTTGCTATACTGCTCCACCAAGTCTCGCCAGACGATGAATCTTTGAGAATTTGTTTCGAGCGTGGCCCGAGTGTAGAAAGGTTGTGAGATGTCACGCGCCCGCTCCGGTGCATACAGCCACAGGCGCATTGTTTCGATGCTATCTAGGAGACATGTATTTTCATATTGGCTGTTATCTCGGGGAGAGAGGCGCCACTTCAGCTTTGGCGTAGGATCGGTCTCCTGGGCTTGGAATTCCATGCAGTTCCTGTTGGCTGTTAGACATGGACCCCTGAAAAGAAGTATCGCGATACTGTCAACCACCTACCATTTCATCTGCGTGCCAAACCTAAGAGCGCGAGAAGTAAGGACTTCTTCCTGCAAGACCCAGCCCCGCTGGGAGATGTGGTTGTGGCCGAAGCAGGTGCCTTTGAGAACAGCATCACGAGTTATCTTCGGGTTCTCTGATACATCGGTCAGTTGGATGTGGCACGGGTGAAGCTCGAGGGGGTTCTTGTCGTGAAGGAAACCAGCGTGCGAATCGGCAGCTCCCTCGGCGCAAATGGTGAGAACGGCATGGCGGTAGATATAATGCATGTGCTTGAGCTCATGGTCCATATCGCCATTGTCGTTCTGGATGATGCAGAGCGCATCGATCCAGATATACTTGTACCCGAGCCAATTCGTAACAAAAATCGCGTCCCTACAAGTCAAGGGGATGTCCTCGAGAGAAAAGCCCCCCTGGTGCGTCTCAACGTTCTCCTTGAGCGTACGAAGAGCCTTTCTTACGTCGCCCCACTTGTAGCTTAGAGCGACGTATGGCCCTTCAGTTGCGTCGTTTGTCTCTTCCAGGAATGGGTTATTGAGATCTGACACGTTCAATAAGCGTGTTGGACGATGAGTTCCGGTTGTGAGGGGGCTGCCTCGTCGACAGAGAGAGTGGCTTTGAAGACACTCGTCTCTCCAAAGGGCAGCTAAGCCGATGTTGATCAAAGGGCTACTACCGCTGTACTGGACCCCTTTATCACTAGGCCCGGCAGCTGGGCTTGGGTGGTTGAGCAGGTATTGGCGAGCGAGCTTGCGTTGGGTCTCAAGGACGCGAGAATACACCTCTGCAATACAGAGTGAGACCGGCAACACTTAACCAGTGCCAACTAGATGAAGGGGACGGACACTACAAACCTGGTATTTGTGTCTCGATCTCCTCCAGCTCTGCATTTCCGAGCCTGCTCAGAATTAAGACTTGGACGCCCCTCGCCCGAGTCGAGGCAGGGGTTTGCCGAAGAATTGCCAAGACGACATCCGCTCCTAGTTCATCGCATGCGACGCTCTTTATCTCGGTTCTGCCAGGAATCTGGGCCCTGACCAGGCAGCAAAAATGGCATCCGCCAGAGATAGAACTCAAGAGCGATTGTCGGGTTTCGTGGAGCACGTAAACGAGCTTGTTGGCGAAGTCGGGGTTTGTGTTGAGCGGAGGCTCACAAACCCGGAACTGTATCGACCGACATCTTTCGCACAGCATTGTATAGAGCCTCTGAAGTCTGCGTTCTTTGTACCGAAGAGCCCACGGAAAATGTGCATCGGAATAGGTCAGTATCAAAAGTGATGCTTGTTATGGCGAAAGCGCAGTCGAGTCGCAGCCTGAGGTGTCAGGCTCGTGTCGTACGTAGTCTCCTGCAGCCTAGAATTCTGCGTTGTATCCCACCCAGCACTGCAAATTTAGCCCAGCGGGAGGGGATAATCCCCAACAAGCCAAGCCAAACCGTCCAATCAGCTACGAACTGCAAGATACCTTGAATTGTCATATTGTCATGTGCGTTTGTCCCCCAAGACCATGGGGACACGATTCGAGGCAGCTCAATGTTTCTTTCTATAGGAATAGAAGAAAAAAAGGCTGCGAGACAATAGGCGAACTCGTTGCATCATGAAGGAGAGCTTTGCAGCTCCAAAGTGACAATTTGCTTTGATGTGGGTTAGGTTGTTACCGTAATATATGTACCTAGTTTTTCTGTATGCTATACGTGCTGTGGCGAGATGATTGCCGGTGAATGCTAGAGGTGTAATAAGCTGGATGAACCACTCGCCCAGGTAACCGCCGTGACGTCATTCGCACAGGAATTCTAGGCTCGCTGAGGCCGAAAACACAACCCATGGTGTATTGGTAAGGCTAATACCATGTGAGTATTGTAGGCTGAGCCCCAGATAATGACCGGGGTTGTGATGAATGGTTGGGAGTTTTGGTGCCTTCCTAGAATAAATCATGCACTTTTCCGGCAAGCGAGCCGGCTGCTTCCCAGCACGGCTCAAATTCGCGAACTCGAGTGTTTGAAGTGTCTTTTTTCTCATCATCGTCAGCTCACTCAGGCATGCAGCTCAATTAAGCTCCTGTCTTCTCGGGAGATAAGTTGATGCGGCGGGATGGCTGTGCTGAGGTGAGCTGGGCATGGCGGTGCGAATTTCAATTGCCGTCGCGTGGTCGCGAATGTTTTCCCAGAACCCGACATGGCCGGCCTCGCTAGCGTTGAAGCACGCCTAGGGGTGGCTGCCAGGGAGAGGGGAAAGGACCGGGAGCTCAATTGGACCAAAAGATACGCCGTTTACTAGTATGTGAAGGAGCAAGTGATGAAGGGGAGGCGAAACCGTGCCAGTATACGGATCGTGCATGTGTGGAATGAAAGGGCGGGAGCAGGTGCGGTACCTCAGCACAAGCCACGGGTTCAGCACCCTTTTTTGGGCTTAGCAAATCTCCAGGGCGGCGGCCATCCAGTCCCCAATTCGGCCACCTCTGAAGCGCAGGGGGCACAGGCAGCAGCTTTCTTCTCCAGATCCCAGCGATCGCCCTCCTCCACTACCGCCTCAGGAACAGCTTCTGCAGGGATGGCCGCGATTAACTGCTGACTCCAGGTGCCTCTGCTCTTACGTTTTGCCTATTTGGGATATCAAGCTCCCTTCGTTTTTCTTCCAATCGAGGCCTTCACCGACGAAGTGAAGAGAGCCTCCGCAACTGCATGTCTTCACCATGAGATGTCAATTCGGGAAATCGAACAAGAAAAGCACTGGCAGGAACCATTTGAACAAGCTCTCATGCTTGCCTTCGGCGGCAATGCTGCCGTCGAACACGAGCCATGTCCAGCGCGTCTCGACTTACGGCACATCCAGATAGCAGGGTTGAGAATTTCCCAGCGCTCAGGCAGCATGAATCTCACTCCGCCAAGACACCGTAGCAGGGGCCGTTTTGGTAACATTTGAGTCTTGGCATCATTGCCACAAACATGGCCCAGTGAGATGGTCACACTAGAGTCAACAGCAGGGGAACTTGCTCTGGGCGGAGAAATGGTGCACGGTATATTCAGCTGCGATGTTGCTGCTGGTACAAGAATCGAGTCTCGTGTCTTCATCTCTTTTTGTCCCCTCCACCACAGCATTTATCCTCGATCCAATGGCCGTTTCCTCATAGTCGACCGGCTGAAGAGTTCTCTTCGTTGCTTTCTTTATTCGTCGCCTTGCATGTCCAGCCGGGGCACCGCAGCCACTCACTCCTAACCACTACCAGCGCAGGTCGACAGGGACCTGATATTACCTATTCAACAACCCCCCGACCTGAGGAACCTAGTTCAACATCCAAGATGGACAAGAACAGCTCTACCACGAGGATCAACGAGGTATTCGGGTCCATGCCTATGGACGACTTGAACTCCAAAGCCAATAGCCGCATGGGTGGCTCTACGAATGGCGATGTCAAGGCCAACCATCGAACAGCTTCGGGGTCGTACCGGACATACCTATGGGACTCGGCGTTT